GGTAATACGTAAGGACTGGTCAATACCACTGGCCAATTGCGTCACTACAGTATCAGAAAATAGTCTTGATACTTGATACCTATGCAATAAATTTGAAACGACGTCACTAAAAACGTGGCACCATATCTAGTCAATGTAAAGATAAATGGTGTCCCAGTTACGATGCAAATAGATACTGGATCAGCGGTATCAGTCATTAATAAAAGGTCGTTCAGTTCTCTACCAAAGATAGAACCTTGTACCACCACTTTGCAAACCTGTACAGGAAACGTCAATAACATCCTCGGAAAATTCATTGCCCGAGTGGAACATACTGGTGTGACTCAGCAACTGCCGGTCCATCTGGTTGATGATGCCTCAGTAGATTTGCTCGGCAGAGAGCGGATCAAGCGTCTACCTTGTTAAACGAGGTGCGACTGGTCTGTAAATATTCCCCAAAAGCAATTCTTCACCGGCATGCGCATGTTTTTCATGACACAAAACTGGGAAAACTCAAGTACTTTAAAGCGAAAATTCATCTTAAAGAACCTTAGCTGTTGAAATTTAGCAAACCCCGGACACTCCCTTATAAATTACGTCCCATGGTGGAAGCCGAATTGAGAACACTGGAACAAGATGGAATAATTGAACCAGTTAGACATTCGAAGTGCGTAGCCCCAATGTTTTCGGTATGAAAACCGGATGGTCGCGTGAAAATATGTGGGGACTACAAACTCACAGTCAATCGTTGCGCACTCATCCTTTATCCGTTATTTAGGACTGAGGACTTATACGCCACCTTATCCTGAGGAAAGAAATTTTCTAAACTTGATTTGGGTCACGCTCACTCTCAAGTACTTGATGAACGTTCTAAAGACTTTACTACAATTAGCACACACACATAGGATTGTACAAATACAGAAGGTTGTCTTTTTGGTATCCATCCCGCCCCAGGCATTTTTCAAAGGATCATAGACAACATGATGCGAGATATTCTAAACACGTGCTTCTTTGGATTATATACTCATCACGGGCCGGACGGAGAAGGAACACTGGGAGACATTAAACTGCATTTTACAGTGTCTTTTCGATAAAGGGATACGTCTGAAAAAAATCCAAGTGCGTCTTTTTGGCCGATTCTGTTGATTACCTGGGCTATCGACTCGATAAGAACGGGCTACATCCAATACCTGACAAAGTGAAACCAATACTGGATATACCCGCATCGCGTAATGAAACTGAACTACGATCATTCATAGGAATACTGTCCCACTATCGTCGTTTCATACCGAATTTACCCACCGTTCTTTCTCCGCTCTATGAACTACTGAAGAAGAAAACTAGTTGGAGGTGGTCCCGAGGTGAACGAAGAGCATTTAAAGAAGCTAAACGTCTGCTGACCTTATCAAAGGTACTAGTACACTACGATCCTGGAAAGCCGCTGATTATGCAATGCGATGACTCACCATTTGGGGTAGCCGCCGTACTCAGGCATGCAGACTCTGACGGGACTATCCGCCCGATAGCCTTTGCGTCACGCACTCTCCGGCCGGCGGCAAAGAACTACTCCCAACTCGATAAGGAAGCACTGGCCGTCATATTCGGTATCAAAAGATTTCACCAATACCTTTGGGATAACGTTTTTGAAATACATACCGACCACAAACCGTTGCTGTCTCTATAAGGCGATAATAGAGGAATAGAACAATTGAACGCACCTAGAATGGTGTGATGGGCGCTCCTGCTCTCTGCCTACAATTACCGGATTCGCTATATTCCGGGTCAGAAGAACCTAGTTGCTGATTCCTTGAACCGTTTGCCGCTCCGTACCACAACTGACGAGCTGAACGAAGTACCAGTACCAGCACTTACTGCAGCGCTTGGATAACTCTCCAACATCGAGCATCGAGGTTAAACAAGAAACGGACGGGGACGCAGTATTGTCTCAAGTTAAACGGATGATGTTGCACTGCTGGCCAAGAAAAGTCATGGAGGAACTCCATCCTTACTTTAGTTGTCGTTCTGAACTGAATCTGCAAGACGGATGCATACTAACAGGTTCTCGCATAATTGCCCCAAAATCAGTTAGGAACAAATTGCTGAAAGAACTACACAACGCCCACCCAGGTGTAGTACGAATAAAGGCCCTTGCGAGATCGTACGTTTGGTGGTCTCAACTGGACCGGAACATCGAGCAATTGGTGCGCTGCTGGGACGACTGCCAACAACACTAAATTAATAGATCAACAGGACGAATACACTCCTGGGCACTACCGGATGGTGCATGCGGATTACTTCGGGCGCGTTGAGGGGAAGATGTTGTTACTTATGATAGACACCTACTCAAAATGGATTGACATCCATACTGTACCCAACATCACGTCCGAGTGCACCGTCAACAAAGTGCGTTCGAGTTTCGCCATATACGGGGTATCTAAAACACTATGCACAGATAATAGCCTTCAGTTTACCAGCGCAGCATTCGAGGATTTTCTGGAAAGTAACGGTGCCCATCATATCACATCAGCACCCTATTACTCATCATCCAATGGCTTAGCCGAGAGAGCCGTTCAAATAGTTAAGCACGGATGGTGAAAGCAGCGACCAGCGTCATTGCAGACCAAGCTGGACAGATTTCAGTTAGCATATCGGACGACACTTTTAGAATCCATCAATAAAACTCCTGGAGAGGTGATGTTTGGGCTGCGATTGGGGACATGACTAGACCTAATTTTCCCTGACTCATGTGAATCGATGTGGCGACACATGAATCGAATGCAAAAAAGCAAACTAGCCGGATCCCCGGAGGAAAAGGAACTCGATGGTAAAGGTTATATGAAATTGCCCCACGAGCGCCTTTGGGCTCCCGGTACATTGCTCAACCAGTCCGGAATGCAAACTGTCATAGAACTTGGCGATGGAAAGACGGTCCGTCGGCACACGGATCATGTGCGTCCGCGCTCGGCCAATAGGGTCACTGTTGAAGACGCCAATGAGAGTTTGGAAAATGACGAAGAAACAAACAGTGACACTACACAAGCCCTGTCCGGTTGTGATGAACCGATTGCGATCCGCAAGCCCACTTTTTCACCAAAACCAATTGACCGTTTCGTTCCCGGGCGACGATCAAAGCTGGATTGGGGGGAGATGTTGCATACGTGCGTGTGGCTTAAGTGCGTACGTTCTGCCAGTCTGCGCATCGATAATTTGCTCGTTCCAGAGACGTTATCGAATGATATCTACTCAGATCGATCAACCTCTCGCACATGCCTATGCCGGCGAACATGGACCCGATCCTGATTGGCTGTTAGTTCTATTGCTGCCTTGTTGAACAAACGCTTGCTTGTGACCGATCATAATAAATCTATCCTGACCTGCGCACTGTTCTACTTTGCTAGCGGGCTACGGGTCCGAGACCACACTGTGTGAAATCCAAACGTAACAGAAGTGGCACAACCAAACGATTGAAGCTTGTTAAGTAAAAGAGAACGGAGTACTGAGTCAAAAGCCGAAAAATAATCAAGAACTTCACACCGCTCTCTCGTTAAGGGATCTGTAGATGAATTGAACTAGGAGGAAAACGGCATCCGATTTCGAGCAGCCATGTTTATATGTAAACTGATAACTGAAGATAACTGAAGATAATGCAGAACTGACCACTACATCAATTTCAAACCAGTGAAAGTGAGAGAAATTGGCCTGAAAAGCTTCACTATTGGGGTCTTTGACGTTCATTTGAGGATGGGAGTAATTGTTAATGGGCACCACCAATCCGGGATAGTTCGAAGCTCGAGTGAAAGATTAGCTATGTGTGCAAGAAACGTGGGACAGTGGCACAGTACCGTGTTTAAGAAGGGTAGGAATTAAGTTATATGGACCAGGTGTGGTATAGACCTTAAGAGAACGCATGTGTTTGTACATTTCATCAGAGGTTATAGTTTCGAACGGAGATCGGGTGTTCGGAGAGCTCGAGTCAATATAACTGCGGCATGTGCCAGACGAAGAATGAAGAAATGCAGCATTCGGTTGTTCAATATCAATAGAAGAACTGGAAATCATTTTCTTTCGTGTGAAGAGTAGTTTGATTTCATGCCACATGGAGTCACAGTCCCTCGTCCCAAAAAACTGACTTGCATAAAGGGCATCCAACCGTCTTACTTCACTCTTGGTCATAAACGATAACCGTTGCATTTCGGCCCTCCTACCACATTTAAATCCACGTACATTTTTTCATGACGAAGACGTTTAGAAAATGGTGTTGATATTTTATAATGTTGTAGGACCAAAGTTATCACAGGACACCAGATGTCAAAAACACGGTTTACTAAGTCTGATAGAAATATCACATTAGACAACCAGATCGTGATTAAGGGAAAACCGTCCGTAAATCTTCAGAAGACATTCTTAGCAGAGCAATATTGTCTGGGGAAAGATCTCGCTGACGGAACATGATGTGTTTGGGTCGAGCAAATCTTAGGTTGGACCAGAATCAGGTTATGTTCACCGGTGCCTAAAGGGGAGAAATGTTTGTTGGAAAATGTATCAGCGTGATTTGTGATCATGTAAACAAGATGGGAGGTTCCTCTAATTGGTTAAATAATCAGGTAAGTGAGGTTTAGGCAGAATAAAAGGTGCAGGGTAATGTTGTTAAAGTCACCAACTATCAGGTGCAAACTGTCAACAAGAGATGGGGCAATAACCGGTAGGAAGTGATAAAAAATGTGTCAATGTTTGATATCGTACAATGGGGTGCAATGTATAAGTTAGTAATTACGATAAAAGGAAAGCGGGAAAATTTGGGATGGCAGACAAAAGCCAAGCGATCAATACCATATGGTGAACACTTGTGAAGTACTTTGGATTTGCCACACCCATTGGAATGGATGCAGGTAGTCACACCGCTTCCCAACTTCCTCCAACACCGTCGTCTATTCTATTTGAAGCAGGCAAACTTATCCAGTTAGACCACAGAATTGTCGACATAATCATTGAACCATGACACCTGTAGACACAAAAGGTGCAAAATTCCTTTTGCTGGAGCAGGTAGGATGAACTCGGAAGATTCCCAAACAGAACGGACATTATTACTCACTATTGTGGGTAAAGTCATCTTGCTGGGAGTAGTGCGAACGAAAGCGGTTTGCCAACCGGCACGAATGCGTTTTCCTTGTTCGGAGTATTCGTGCGGTTGACTAGGGACTGCCATTCCAAACATTGCAGTATGATTTTTCTTCACAACACCCTTAATGTTTAACATGAATTCTCTTTTATATATGGTTAAAGCATGCATATTGAGCAATTGGTTCGATAAATTCTAGAACGCAACGGTGGTCGTTCAAGGGGCACGTGCTTTTTGTGAGGTATCGCGATATGGCCTTTTCTTTTGGGGTATATTTATCTATATATTTATGTATATATATTCAACCGCGTCTGAGTCCAGATAGTGTGCCAAAAAATCACAGTAGAATCATCTTTATAAAGAGATGATTCGATTGTGGCCACGTTACAGTCAGGTTGTACAGGCCAAGGCAGGTAAATTATCTTGGGGAATCCAAACCGGAGCCGTTGACCCGAAATGCAGCGGGGCCGTGTGCGAAAACCGTATTCCGTTGGGGGCCAAAGTCCAGTTNCCAGTTCATCGGGTCACATGCTATTTGGACGGAATTAAACAGCCAAGTACCCAATAAACTTCAGTGACCAATCGAACTGGTAACCACTACCACATATAGGTAAGTGTGTGGTTTGTACGCCTCTTCTTGGTTTGGAATCAGGGTTATCTTTGCCAAATCCCTTGAGTGAACTGCCTACAGTTCACCGACCCGGTAATGCCCCGGATGTTGACTTTTTGTCCTCTCACTTTGGTGAGAAAACACTTCTGCTACGAGAAGGCAGTGGGCAGGGCTTCCTCAGCATAGGCTGTTTGAGACCCTCGCATTTTTTGAGTTGTGAATGAAGGGTGATCAGCCAGAATCTGAGATACCCACCCCGAGCATACTGAGACTTTCGGAGGCTGCGCGGCATACGACCGTATCCCGATCTTTGATGGTTCTTTTTGGGTGTAAAAAGATCGCTTGTCAGTTTGCAGCTAACCTCCTAAATGGGACTAATCGCCTACCGGAGTTTTCGTTTCCTCATTATTCTGATAGTTAGAAAATGGCTCTGTTACGCTCATTCACATTTACGAATAATACGAATTTAATAGGGAAATAAATGTTCTCTATCTAGATGACGTGCCTTGACATACTTTGTTAGATATGCTAAATTTCAGTTGTGAATGCATTAAGAGGCAGAAGATCGGCTTAAGGATCTCAGTTTATCCCCCACGGGGTTTATCCTTAATGATAGTTCTTGCGTCTAATTTCTTCATGACCCTCCCGTAACACAAATCACAAATTATTTTGATTCCTACTAAAGACAAGTGGACAACTTAATCAGTGTGTTCGAAGAAACGTTCGGCATGGATGTGATTTTTTTTGTCACTTACTGAGGTACACCCCTTGATGAGTTTCATTGCTCGGGGAAGTGGAAACCAAACCATCGCCATTCATCCAAGGTCAATGCAATGTGGCGTTCGGATGTTTCTATCCAGTGGGAATGTATCGGATAATCACATGGAATAGGCAGAAAACAAAATTTTATGGATTTGAGCCAGTTGTATAGAAACAATTTTATACTCTGTCTTCCATTAAGAACAGGATTTATTTGATCTAAGATCACACTAGAGACATAATTATCAGTTGTGTCGAAGACTATTAGAAAATGGCTATCAGGAGACATTTCTTGATTGTGCCGAGGCTCAAGAACACGAAACCTGTACCTGTGGCTAAAGTATAGAAAGCTGCCTTTCATCATTTTCTGCTTTAAAGGAAATCCAGCAACCGAAAAAGGCTCACTACAGTCGTATTTAAGACTTCATTCAATGCTGCCAAACTCAGCTGTATAAACTCATATGTATTCGATGTCAGAACAAGGTTAATTTGCCTAGGTTGACCTCGTCGATGCTTATCTACTAATTCACGTGCACCTGTGATATCACTTGCGTCGGGGCGTAGGACAAGGAGGATACGGGGTTAATTCAAGCTCACCGACTGTATATTTAATGGAAAATGAGCATCTGACGGACAACAAATTCGGCTTTCACAATCACCTACCGAGTCTAGCAACACTAATTCGGGGATATTATAATTTAAAGGAAAGTAACAGCCAAAACAACTATATATTTCGCTAATTACCTTCCGAATTTTATGCACAAAAAGACTGATTCAGGTACTCAAACTCTCCTGACCGAAAATGAGTCACGTCAAGCGTGAACAGACCAATGACAGGAATCAAGTACAAACGACTTTTTAACGAATTTGTATCTCAGATTGACAACGCAAGAGTAACTGGACACTTTCATACCCCATTGGTACTCCTAATCGATCTGGACTGTTTTCTCCCACCACATCACCATCTACTTATTTTCTTGCATAAATGTGAGGATAAAGTCACCGAAGACATGTGTTCACACCCAATCAATGGGGTTACTCTGAGATTCAAAAGCTACTTTCTTGAGTATCTCCTTTAAATGTTAACCTTTGCTTTCTAAAACCACCATTTTTAACTCAGTCCTCTTGCATATTACTTTCGGACCCAAATTGTGTTTGGTCTACACCGGGACGTGACACACTTCACTCATCCCCATCTTTCATACTTTCCTTCTCATCACGCTTTCTCATGCTCTCTTTTTGTACTTTCCCATCTCACATCGGAAATCTATTCCACCTTCACACATCTCGCATTTCACAGTGCTCGGATTTGCTCTTATCCACGAATAATGTGATCATATATTTCCTCCTCAGTCTATCGTTTCTTAATCAAATTCAATCGAAAATCATTCTCGTTGTGACTTGCTATGACCAACTCATCACCATTTGGTCGGATTTCAGCGTCCATATCACTAAGGTACCGAATTTAAAGAACTGGATTTTTCGTTCCCGGTTCTTTCCAAGTTTCTTTCCTGCTTACGAACTGAAATCATTTCTTTTCGGAGAGCCTACAAATTGTGGTACCCACCAGACCGTTAGGGTCGACAGAATCACATTTTCTGCAGTCTATATATATATATATATACAGTTGAATCACTAGAGCTGGGATAGAAGTTCGTTTCTCTAGGGTGATGTGGTCTGCCGATAAGGAAATCAGGTTTGTATTTCAAGTTGCCAGTGGCAAGCACCTCAGGAACTGTAGTTCAGTCATTCACGTGCTGTCCATTGTAAACATATTACAGCTGGATTTGTGCCACAAGTTTGTTGAAGTTG